AACAGTCTTTCATTGATGAATTGTAGCTTGACTCGTGCTCCGGATGGTTACACGTCGTGCCTTTATTAAACCAATCGATACCAAAAGAACCTCGATGCTTGGGACAAATTTTCATACTATCGTCGACAAGGATGTTTTTCCGAAGCAATCGGTTGGCGATTAAGTTTTTTTCATTTATAACAATATTGTCGTCTTTCTTTTCAGAAATGATTCCGTTCTGTTTTAAGTACTATCGAATATCAAACCCAGAGAGATGAGCAAGAGTAACACATTCTCGCGACCGTCCATGATGATCTATTTGATAGAAGCAAACATGTACCTCTGAATTCATTAATATGTAAAACTCATGGTGTGCAGTTGATCCACACTCCTGTATTGTCTTATCGCCGAAAAGGCAACATTTATTATAGCTGATATTCTCTGGAATTTCCACGTTGACCGTGGTGTTGGGTTGTGTTTCCACCTCATCGATCGCCATATCATCTAAAAATAGCTCAATTCTATGTTAACTCAAAGTTATAATTAATACAAACCAGATGATTCGTTTTTTTCATGACGTCGTTCATTGTCAATGTTAGAATGAATTGACACATATGGTGTGAACATATCTTCCGGACGACTGTAAGGGGTTGAATTGTAATCCCACTCAGAAGTGATGTTCGTATTATAATCATTGCTCTTAGTGAGACAAAACGGACCGGTGTATACATCATCCATGAAAGAGTTGTGTGATACTGTCTTTTCAGTTGACGCACTGCTAACTTTGTTGTCAGGACGAGTACCATAATAACTAGATAGACTCTCTTTGTCCACCGAAAGAGCTTCGCTTCGAAGTGTTCGTGTCTCATCATCAGTTAAACGACTCACATTACTTGTTTGATACTCAAACGTGCTCGGAGCCGTAGAAATCGAAGTTGTATCAGACCACGTGAAGCTTGAGGACGTACTCATATAAGAGAAAGTACGAGGCATGTGTGAGACAGACGAACAGTCGCTGTCTTTGTCGGATGTCATAGAACAACTTGACGCTGCAAATATTCTCGATGCTCCATCGCTGTCTGTACTTGAATCTGCATAGTTTCGTGATAGTAAATACGGTGGCAAACCACGACCAGGTTGATAGAGAGAAGCATCTTGACCAGCCATATTTTATGAATAGTATTTTCTTTTTGAATTACCCTTTATATACTGCGGCGTATTCACGTAATCTTCTCTGTATTATTCAACAATAAGAATACAAATTTATCTTTTCGAAGAGTTCGTATAACAGTCAGTTTATATGTTCAAAATAAAACAACATTTTTTGTACCTTTTGTTGAATTTTTTATCTCTTGTTTTCCTAATGCGTTCTTACTCAATGCATTATGAACAATACAACATACAATATCTCATTGTACTGTAAAAAGAGAAGAAAGAAGAAAGTTCATGGTGTTGCTTGAGCAAAGGTCTTTTTCTCCTTTTGAGTATACGTGAATATTATGCGTATATTTTGTTGTTCTGTCTAGTTCATTTATTCATGCTTCGATAAAGCGTCTTACTGTTATAGTACGCAAAACGAGCATAACGTAAAACAACAATCATATTAGTATTAAGTGGTATATGTTAATCTTGTCTTGCAACAAGATAACTTAATAGTCAGTTACGAAATAAAAATAATCAAGTAATATATTTTTCGTCATTTACTATTCTTCTGCTGACAGAATTGATATATGATTCATATGTTCAAACTTTTGAATGAAAAAAAAGGTTTTTTTTAAGTGACGATTTATAATACTAATCTTATAAAATAAACCATAATAACAATACCAATCTAAAAAAAGTTCAATGATTGATTTAAACTATTTAGAAAATTCAGAACGGGTCAGCTTGGGATTGATCTATTATAGCTCTTAGTTTCGTTCTTCACAGATGTATTACGAAAATTTTGAAACATCATCAAAGTCTTCAACTCATCAGCCCACTATGAAAACTCCAGTTAATCTGCTTGATCCTTTTACACTTGATCTTCACACATCTATCACAAGATTTCTTTCTTTTTTTTCTCTCATGCCTTTAATAAGTTAAAATTTACCTATCCTTCTTCGTACGATATGCAGTTTTCATCATCAAACAATGCTGTCAGTGGAAATCTCTAAACTCTCTTCACCTTACAGTGCGTCCATGATCCTTGTTTCACTTGTAATACCTACTAATTCCTATACTTTTTATCTTATGCATAATCTATCGGAGAGCAACAAAAATCAATTACTTAATTTTATGAGACACCGAGAACATGTCTTCATCCATTTTCTCAATAAAATTGATACTTTCTATGATGTACCCTACCAATTCTTCAAAAGCATTGGTCTGCTCAAGTATGACATACTATTGACGCATTATAGATCAGAGAGAAAAACCTTTCAAGATTCTTCGAACCCTTGGATTTTGCCTTGGTCAGAAGGAAGTTTCTTGAGGGCTGAAAAATAACTGAAAGCACTCTAAACAAAATAAACTAGCTGTGAGAAAAGTTTTAGTTCGATCGGATTGAGCGTAAAAGAAACCATAGGAGAAAAATGACTAGGTTCATTTTCATCCAATACTATTCAAGTAACCCATGGATCCAAGCATTATGGAAACTTGACTGCAACACATGTTTTACTTCATAATCTGAGCTCTGTTATCCCTGAAAGTTTCAACTTTCTTGGACGAACCATTCACGAGATATTTGGAAAAGTTAGGGTGTCAAACATGAAATTCGTAAAAATTCATTTTTTGCAAAAAGATCGATTAATTTCACCACGGCTTGTGTGCGTCCCAAGCTGATTTTTATGCTAGGTTGTAGACCAAAGTGGGGTCTTTCATGCTGTATAGGTGAGTAAAAAAGTTGGTGTTTGTTTTGGGAGAAAATCGAGGTCAAAAATCCATTTTTTGACAAAAAATTGATTTTTTTTAAGTTGCTCTGCAGGAATACTTTGCTCTAAAGAGCTGAAATTTATATGGTAGTTAGGTAGCATTAAGATATGCTTGTGTTCAAAGTTTCAGGTCCATATCACTTTTTAATCGGGAAATATGAGCAGCGAAAATTGGTCAAAAAAGTAATTTTTCCTCGAATTGTGGAATCCATAAAATACCAACTACTCATTTGTCTCAGCTGAAATTTATGGTATATGTAGAACTTAGTTAGATATTAATGTACAAAAAATTTCAATTCAAACGATTGATGTTTTGCTGATTTTCTGGAGTGTCCAAAATCGTCCCTCGTGAAAGTGCGTTTTATAGCGATTCATAGTGCTTTCAGTAAAACTGCGATAAAAAACGAACGATTCAATATTTTTCGAAGCGGCTTTCACCAAAAGTTATCAAACACTTGCCTCTATCACATATGTAAAAATGAGCCAAATCGGAGAATATCGATTGAGCACTTTCGGTCGTGGCTTACGTGGAATGGCTCATATATAACTGGTTCAAAAAATGGTTAGTGAAGAAGAATATATTTTCACAATAACATTGTCTTCTTTAGGGTCAAAAATACAATAACAAGCAAGAATGAATAACATGACAATAACAAACAACAATTAATTGGAATCCTTACTACAACTATCTCATTTCGATTCAATTCGAAAAGATAAATGAATGAATTTTTGGCAATTTATCAATCAAATCAATACATGTCATCATCACTACAAGCAATGAATTATATTTCAACTTTTGTTGATAAATAAGTTTCGTTTTTCTTTCTTCTTAAATAATGAATTTTCTAATTTCGACTGCAATAGATATGATTATAATTTTAGATGATATTCAATAGAAGTGTTTATCTTATCATCTTTCGACGTTTTGCTGTTATTCACCATACAAATATTTTAGCATTTTTCACATCATCTGTGTTGATAAATTTAGGTGAATCAATGAAAAAACTTATAGATAAACAAAAATATCAAGAAGCTTTAGATCTTTTTAATCATAATTCAACATCTATATCAGATGTTGCTATCAGTTTAGCTTTAAAAGCTTGTAGGAAATTAAAAAATCTTGAATATGGTAGAAATATTCATCAACAACTTTCACCTGAAAAGATTAACAATTCATTGATAAACACATCATTGATTCATTTATATAGTAAGTAATTATTCTTTTTAATCAAATAAATGCAAAATGATTTTCAATGCGCCTACTATATGTATTTTATTATTAAAAAAACTATTATTAGAATATTTTTTTAGTATTAAAGATCGTCTTAGGTTGATTAATTGACCTAGGAAAACATTGAACCTAAGTTAAGAAAGTATTCTTAAGTTACATTACAAAAAACTGATTCATGAAACACAATGATTCACTTCTATCTGATTCCTAAACATAAGTGAAGCACTGAGGAATATGTTGAAATTGTATTGATATTTGCCCATATAATATTTTCAAATTGATCTATTTTTCTGTTATATTTACTTTCTGTTTTTATTTGATATCTAGTGACTTGTGGCGATGAAGATAATGCATGTCGTATATTTTGTGAAACTAAAAATAAAACACCAAGTGCATATGGTGTTATGTTTAAAGGTAATTATTAATTTTTTCAAATGAATAATAGAATCAATTTTGTGATTGACTATATCTATCATTAATAGATCGTCTTGTTCATACTATTCATCTTTAGTATTAGCAGAAACTTTAGTAGTTATTTATCGTGAAACCTATTCCTATCATATTTCAATCCTTTGTAGTAGAAATTCAGACAAAATAACGCAGAAGATTGAAACGCAACTCTGATTTTCCTCATATCGTTTATTCGATTTACAAAACATGATAATGATCTTATTTTTTTTAATATTGTTCATTTATTATTTCCAAAAGAAATAACTGTTAATTTCGAAGTTCAAATATAATTCTTTTCTCAATATTTGTGCATTGATTGAGAATAAAATCTTTTTTTTATATTAGGGTTCTTGACAAATAAAAAACCTTGAAAAATTTTCGAATTATTCGATGAAATGACAATAGAACCAGATAGTACCAATTTAGTCATGCTTTTCAATGCATGTGCTCAATTACGTAATGAACGTGCATTAAAAATTAAGAATAGTTTTCTTAATCAAATGTCAAAACTATTTAATAGTACTAATCATGTAGTTAATTCATTTTTAAATATATTAATAAAATTTCGTGATATATCAAGTGCAGAAAATGTATTTGTTCAAATGAAGACCAAAGAGATTATTACTTGTGGTATAATAATGCAAGGTAATTGATTGTAATGTAATCTTACATTTACAATCATTCTTAATGCATGTTCACAAATTGTCTTGTTATCAATATGTGAACCAATTGTTGAAAAAATTCCTTCTTATTTTTTAAATCATCATCGTGTACAAACAAAATTGATTGATATGTGGATGCGTCGATATCAATGATTATAAAGAAACATTTTCTTTTTATTTTACTATTTTTAGAGGGAAAAGTTGGTTATGTTGGTAAAGCATTAAACATATTTGATCATGTTGAAAAACCTAATAAAATGATTTATACAGCTATGAGTAACTAATTTATCTTGTTCGAATCTTGTCATTTTAATGAGAAATCTTTTTAAGTTAATTCATTTGGACTTAATGGAATGGGTCATGAAGCTGTTGATTTGTATCGACGAATGCCTATTGATATTCATGATGAAGTTACTTATATTTGTATATTGAATGCATGTTCTCATTCGGGTCTTATTGATGAAGCTCATTCTATTTATAATAACATTAAAGTCAAAACAGAAAGAATTACTACCGCTATGGTAGGTTTAACTATTGTTTTTGTCTTATGGGGCAATCTAGTATAATATTAGATCAGTTTTAGACAAACATTTTATTTAACATTAGACTTCAATGAAAATATACTTCTTGTATTGCGTGTGTTTATTTTGATAGAACTCAATTGTAACATTGTTGTTTCTATCTTAATGAAAAAGATGTGATCAAATTCGTATTTATACCTACAATAAAATCATTTTATGTGCAGCAAGATGATATATTCTATCTAGGATAATCTTTAAGGCATTTGACAAATTCATATTTTCGAAAGCGGCTTGTCCAAACGTAAAGCTGTAACATTTTTGACACACTTTTTTCAATTATGTTCGAAACTATGGGAGCTAGAAAGTTCGTTCAAACGGCATTCGACACCGCTTATCGTGCTCTATTCATGCCATAAAAACGACGTTTTTTGGTTAAATTCTCGAGCTTGTAGAAGAGGCTTTTGATTGCGTAATGTTGTGACATAAAAAGACCCTTGCTTCTTCAAGGCCTCTTATAAAACTCCAATCCCTTGTGAAACTATTTCTCCAAATGAAACTCTTATAGAGCCAGTTTTGTAGAGCTTTAAACGGGCTTCTAAACGCTAAATTTTGTTTTTCTCTAAACTATTTTTGCTTATATAACAAAATGCAAAAAACAAACATAATGCTGTGACACAGTTTTTTGTCAATCAAGTGCTCAGATATGTTTGATTTTCATAAATATTGGTCATTGCCATACATATAATTGTTCTACGCAAGAATCCCATCGATACATCAGTATAGGAGCTCATAAACTATGCAGTAAGTTAGGAACTGTATAAGAGTCTAGACGTGGTCTTTAGCTACAAAAGTCAAAACTAAATAAACCATTTTGTAGGGAGTGAAATTCTGCATCGAATGGTATGTCTTTCGACATTTTTTGAAAAAGTTTCTTGGTTAAAAAATTCAAAATACGATTTTTGAAAAGTATAAAACCCGGTTTTCGATGTCAAAATTTTATTTTTTTTTACAAAATAAATGTCAAATACGTAATCAATGTTAAAAACTGCATATAGTAACTCATTCAGATCTATTCAACTCGAAAAGAAATTTTCAAAACTTAATCAGCGAAGTGTCGCGTTACGTGGACAAGCCAAAAGAAGAAATTGATTTATCTTCAAATTTTAAACAATAGTTTGCAATAAATATCGATCTGATCAGAGCTTTTTAATTCTTAAATATGAGAAACAATGTCAAAGTTGAGTATTAGCAAAAGAAAATTACAATATTAGAAAGCTATCGTCATTTAAATAATCCTAAAAGTAGACAATTAAAAGATTTTTGACAACCATTTGTGATCGATTAAATGAGCAATATCTGAATTAAAAACAATATAATATTATAGAATATTCTCTCGATCATATTATTATTTAATGAAACAATTTAGGTAGATTGTATGAGTCGTATGTTTATGTTTGATGAAGCTCAACAATTAATTGATAATTTTGAATTATCTCATCCACCTGGTTTTGCCATGTATAGTAAGTATTTTGATAACTGTTTTGGTTCATATAATAAATAATTATTTTGGTATTTTTCTCTTTCAGTGGCATTATTATCCAGTGCACGGAATCATCGAAATTTTATTTTATCAGAAAAAGTATTAGATCGAATGAAAAAGCTGTTTCCGAAAAACAAACAAGGTCTTATAGCTGGTTCCGTTCTTCTTTGTAATACTTATTCTTCTGTTGGAGAAGACGAACAAGCAAAAGAAGCTCGACTCAAACAATTACATCAAATAGGAAAGAATAAAATAGTTGGAATAACATGGACTGCACCTAAGGGTGAAGTTGTGGTAAAAAGATTGTATATCAATAAAAAGAAAAATTCAATACAAGTGTTTGTATGTTATAGCGATTTAAGACCCACGACAATAGTCATCCTCAATCGAAAGAAATATACGTTGAAATTGCACGTATGTCTGTTGAACTTAAAGAAAACGGACATCAATATGACTCAAGATGGATAACTCGTGAAATAAATGATGATGAAAGCATAGAGTCAATTTTATGTAGTCATAGTGAAAAATTAGCTATAGCTTTCAATTTTATTCAACAGGCAATACCAAATGTTATTCAAGTTACTAGAAATCTTCGTATATGTGGTGATTGTCGTAAGTTACTTCTTTTTTTATAATGGTTTTTTTAAGTCTTTTGATTGGTTTGTGTAACAGATTCAGCTGTAAAATTGATAGCTAAACTTCGTCAACGTCCAATCATTATTCGTGATACTAATCGCTTTCATCATTTTGATACAAGTGGACAATGTTCTTGTCAAGATCATTTTTAAATTTTATTAAATAAAACTTGAAGGTATAACAATGTGAAATTTTCGATGCAAAAAAAAATGTCACTATGAAGTATTTTCTTCTTCATTATGTACAGTAAATATATTACTAATAAATAAATCTTGTCAAGTGATTATTAGTATACATATAAGAGAAAAATAATTTTAATTACTTCTGAAACTACTAAAAAGTATTTATGGCAACGAGAGGAAAAAAAGCTGACTTCAAGACTTCGAAACTTCACAATACTGTAAAAGAGTTCATGAAACTTCGTAAGGCTTCATGATATTTATGAGACTCAGTGGCGCATCTTGGATTTTTTCTGATCTGGGTCGATTGAATGAAGACTAGCGGTAATCATGATCATAAAGCATAGTATCAGCTTATCTTGAAGACTTATGTGCTAGAAAAACTGAAAATCTTTTGTTGTTTTTTGGACTAGCGAATATCATTCCCTAAACCTCTGTATATTCACCACTGACAAGAATTCAAAAGATTCGATATACTTTATTCAATTCCATTTTCGTTATGATTGTGAAGCTAAATGAAAAGAAAATTTTCCAAGTAGTAACGTTTCATAATACAGTTGATGTAAAATATTTTTCAAAATCTTCGTTTTGCGAATAAAAATAAAGAGTCTTCGTTCAAATGCCATGATGTATCATCATAAAGGAACCAACAAGCTTCAGTCTCCAAAAATCCTGTCAAGTTCGAAACAATTTCAAAATCTGAAAAACCTTTTCACATCTTTTGAATATAATTAAGTCTGAAAAATTATGAAAAATTTATTCGATAAATCCAATAACTTCTATTAGTTAACTCAGCTGACTTCACAAAGTGCAGTAGCCTATTTATTGCTTTTCACTCGCTTAATTGTCATAGCAAATTTCTTCTCAATACATAAGTCACAAGTGAAGTCAGCCACTCGTTATCAACTCCTGAGTATCATGTTCAGTTCAAAAAACAAGCTTGACGAGAGCTCATTTTTCGAAATTCTCTGACGCTCAGGACATATAAATAATGTCAAAAATGATAATTAACAACTGATAGTTTTTTTATATAGTTATACATGATTCAGTCTTAAAAAAGACCATTGATATCTCAAATCTTATGTGCATATATATTTTAATTTAATTATCCTCTTGCATGGCTTGAATTCAATCATGAAGAAGTCTAAAACGTTCAGAAAAATTACTTCATGGTTTACATAGATGAGATACAAAGAACGATAATGAATAACTGAGAGTTTCATTATATGAAAATCTATGATTCAGATTTATTATGATTTCTTCTATACGATTCTTAGATTTAGAAATAGTAGATGTCATATAAAATCATATTTCGATATATGTTGGGCTCTGCCATCAGCCGATTTTTCTACTCGGTTCAAGGCCGACTAGAGATCTAATTAAATAAGCTATCGACAGTGTTATTTAGACACATGTAGACATTGATTGATAGGATTCTCGTAATAGTGAATTTAGCCATATCTGTTTTTCAATTACATTTCGATTACTATTAACTGATTGAAACTTTATTTTTCTCTACACATCAATAAAGAAAGAAAATGAATTTCAACAAAGTGAAAATCTTTTTAAGAAGATATGTTTCGTACTCGTTCATTGAGATATATGTTCCTTTTTTTGATTAATCATCAAGAAATCAATGAGCGACATTCGAAGCTTCGTATCACATTTTGCAGTCAAGTGAAACTTGAGTGGCATCTAGTTTTTCATTTTCGTATTCGTATATATGTCAAAAATCTATTTTCAAACCTACATTTTACGATATTGTTTAACTTAGTACAAGTCTAATTTTATCAACTAATCGACACAAATTTAATGTTAATCTACGATATGTAAATCATCACTATAGGCTTCAATAAATATATTACTAAGAAACTCTAGTATGATTTTTCCACGTGATTATCTTGACATACTAATTTATTATTCAAAAACAATATTTCGTATTGCTTTTATACTTAATAAATTATTATAATTTTATTTTTTTTTAGTTAGTTAAAGAAATTGCTTAAAAATTTGTCTATCTTCTCAATCAATGTAAACTGTGGTTATGGGTGTGTCAGTGCGGATACATTTTTCATGTTAAGCTACACTCACATCATTCATGATGCCAGTTTTTCATATGAAAGACAATGAGTGTCACCTCTTGTTTTTTGGTAAAGTATTATAAAAAAAGACTTCAAAAAAAGGGTACTTAAATTCTCGTTCTCCTTAAAAACTTTTCACTTTGAAAAAAATTTCCTTCCATGTCTCTTGCATTAGACAACATAATATTTTGGATATGGGAAGCTTCAATCATTCTGAGAGATAAGTGTATTTTTCATGAGTATTCAAAAATAAGAATGGTTGTAGCGCTTTTGCGCTATTCTTGGACTAATAGCTGGCATCTATTATCGACTTAGTCGTCTACAAATTCCCATGTGCTATTGTTGAAGAAACACAACATAATCAAAGTTATCATACAGTAGTAAAACTGTCGAAATTTCATTATTATTGAAAAATTTCAATTGAATAATATAAAAAAAGAAAAACAGATGACTAACCTCAAGTAAAAAAGAAAAAAATACAATCGTATCATTTTTCCAACTCTCTCACACTCTTTGCTTGACTGTCGTTTTTCTTTTTCCATCATCAAACCACATGTTTCTCTTTGATTTCATCGAAAAATGTTCTTCAAAAGTCAGAGATACATTCTTTCGAAGTGTGAGTGAACAAACGATTAAATTTCTTATCTTCATCCATACTCTCCTCATATCAGACATCAAGAAAAAATCATTTGCTAGAATTCCAAAAGTCTACTTAGAATAGATATATGAAATTTAAAACAAATCTATCAGGAAAATTCAGCATGAAAATACTCAAATCTTTTTCTCACTTCATCAATGTCAGAAAGAAAACGCATTAGAGCTGACCTAATCGATAGTTTTTGCTCTAATTTCCTATGACGAATAGAATAATGATCTTCTGAAGTAATTACATCATCTCCTGATAATTCACTTCGAAGAAGTAATCCAGCGTAATAATTTTCTATTTTTGTTGTTTAAACTTGCTTTCATAATACTTGATTGATCTTCATCGAAAACTAAAATTGGACATATAGTATAACAATAGAATGATAAAACATCAAACAATTATGATACATCTTTATATTTTTTGACTAAAAAAGTCTCTTATATAGCGATAGTGTGTTACAATAAAAAAGATAGGCAGATTAATGATGGAAATAAGAAAAGGCAAAATAAAAGAAAAACATATAAATATGTGCATTTTTATATGATTATAATAACCGATGAAAAAAACTAACCAAAAGATAAAATAGATAGTAATTCTTTTCAATGAAATTTTATACATAAAAATTGTTACAAAAGTAAATTTGTTTTTGGAATAGAAGAAATACGCATATTTGGTCGTAATTAAATTTCACATTATAAAGAGATTTGTTTTGAAAAATATAATTAATGATCAAAATATTGTTGCATAGATAGAGTTTTCGATTTAAATCAATTACACAGTTATTTCTGTTACCTTGAAACATAAGTTCTGCACGTTTCTTTTAATTTTTTAGGAAAGTTTTAGGCGTTATATGTCGTAACTAGGAAGAGATATAAGTCTGAAATTTTTAATGTAAATAAAACTCATAAAGCTCTATTAATTCTAAAAATGTTAGACTTATATCTCTTTCTAGTCATGACATAATATAGGCCTAAAACTTCTATGAAAAATTTTTAAAAAAAACGTGCAGAACTTATGTTTCAAGGTAATATATAAAATTCTTTTGTTTTATCATTAAAGATTACTACTCATTGAAAACAAAAGTTAATTTATAGATATAATTTTTTCTATTATGAACATTCATCATTAGGAAAGCAATATAATGATGATATTTCTTTTTTGAGGAAAATTGACTAATTGAACACTTGTATTTATTCTTTTGTTTTTCGAAAATATTTAAAATATATCTCTGATGAATATTTTTGATCCGAATTCTAAGGACTAATTATATACCAATGAAAATTTTTGTCTAAAGAAAATATATTTACATAGTGATTAATTATTTTGATATATGCTAAGAACTAATGATACACTGATATTTAATGAATAGTACATAATAAAGGATCGTATACTCGTACCTATCTTTGACGTACTTCGAAATCGTATTAAAGTCTGTATTCAACGAGAAGGAAATTAAGTTTCGAAAGGATGAATCTGGATTTGGAAAACATTACTTTCCTTAATGTACGTAGCTATACTGTGAAGCTTTAGATTAGACTCTTTTTCTAGAAAAAAAAACCGTACTAAAGACCTTGGCAAAATCGTGCATACACTAGGCATGGAAATTTCTAGCCTTCGATGATAAATTCTGAACTTTTTGTACCGATTCTTATACACTACACGTTCAAAAAAAACCCTCTTCATATCTAGAGAAGATAAATATTTGCCAATAGTTGAACGAATAGATGTTGATCTTTGTAGTATGGCATTGATAAAATTTCACTTTAAATAACAAAATTGTTTGGTTAGAACAAAAATAAATCTTCTATTGAATGAGCTCAAAACTATATTTTAATACAATTTCAAAGTATACGAAAGATAGAAGGAAAAAAGTCGATCATTGACTTTAGCTACAAATCTGGATATTTTTTAGTAGTTTTCCCAGTGGAAAATACTGCTAATAAAATCACGAGTATTTATTATTATTATTATCGGCGTACAAATTTTATTTCTTTTTTATGCCTTCACTGCTTGCAGGATAATCTAATGACAATGATTCAATTTCTTTAATCAAATTCAAGAAAATAATCTGCTTAATTGATCATTATTGATTATTTCATTTATAATCTGATCTTCATCGAAAATATATTTCAATCTAGCATAAATAAAATTAGCCCCGTATTCGACTTTTTCTTGTCTTGATTGTTTTCCTAACTTGTGTTAACTCTCAATTTGGTTATTTGATAAGCAGAATTTTTTTAACTTATCTTCGCCAGTAAACCTGGTTGGAATTCGCTTTCTGACTTATGTTAACTCTCTAAGTGCTTGTATTAGGTTCGGTATTCCAGTCTGTATCAAATGATACTCATTTGAATAGAAGTCATTTGACAAAAACTAGCAGTATTACAATAAATATTTGTTGACGAGGTCATGTTTCAGGATTGTCTAAGCAGATACATTAATAATATTTGTGTGTTCAACTGTTTGTGTTGGTTTTTTTCTTTGTTTTATTTGTATGGAACAATCCATAATGGTTCTGAACATATTTACGTAATTTTCATCGGTTCTTTGTCGGTGATACCTAGTAAAATTCTCACATTGTTGCTTGTTCTATTTTTCCCATTGTACACCCTGAAAAGGAAATAGATTTCATCTTCTTATGGATGAAGGCGTCTTATTATCTTGAGATTCAAACACACTCTTCCAGTCACGCCATGCGACCGAAGTATAGTGTACCATTTCAGTTGAATCTCATCAAAATCAGTTAACCATTTGTTAGATCGAGACAAAACTATGATGGCATCACGGACACATGAAGTCAAAAATTCCGATACGAATATTAATAACTAAGATTCCTTCATTTATTTTTGGAATAGTGTAAAAGACATGCAAATAGTTGGTACCACTTAATGAACCAAAGCTCAGTGTTGATTTATATCAATGAATCATTGATAATCAATGCAGCAGTTATGCATTAAGAATGGATGATGATAGGCACGACGTTTTATTGACACGGTACATTTGAATGCGATGATTATTGCGATCAGTAATATACAAATTGCCGTGTCGATCGAAGTCTATATCTATGGGAAATGCAAACTGATTTGCTTGATTCCCATATGCATCTTCTCCGAAGAGAATATTGCCTGATTCTGCGCCTTGCAAATAGCGCATTACGCGATGTAAATCATGATCAACCACATAAATGGTGCCCATCTTGTCTGCGACAACGGCATGCGGTCCACTAAGTTGCGGTGAATTCTTGCTTCCACTTACAACAATGCCCTCTTTCGAACCCTTTTGCCACTTCATTATTCGATGATTGTCCGTGTCCGGTACAAATAAATTGAAACTATGATCGACAAAAGCGAAATGAGGTCGATTCAACTGATTCAGTGCTGCGCCTCTTCCGTTGCCACCTGCAACTACTTCATTATGAGAGAAATCGGCATTATATTTCAGCACGAGGTTGTTGTTGAGATCGGATACGTACAATAATCCCTCATGATCCAAAGTCACTCCAAAGCAGTTGATATTCGAGACAACGCTCTGACCACTTCTTGCATTCTTTTCCCATCGTACAACGCGTTCGTTGCCTTTATCACATATGAACATTGTTCCTTCAGCATTCACGGCAAGATTGTGCAAGTGATACTCAAATTGATCATTACCGCTACCTTGACCGCCAAATCCAGCCACCATCAAACCGGTTGTTGCTCCATGCTCCCATTTCGTCACTCGAAGATTATCATCCGTGATGTAAATTGCTCCAGTATCGTCCACGAAAGCTCCACGAGGATAGGAAAGTTGATTCAAGTCTGATCCCATTCCCCTACCACCTGCAACTGTCACACCGTCTGTCGTCCATGTTGCACTGGCGCAAATATCAATGTCGCCCGGCGGCATTGGTGTATTCGAAACTGTAGATGCAAATAATATGATTGATGCCAATTCTTGTTGAAGCGAGATACTAGTCTAACACTTCTATTTTCACACTACTAGCATCTTTATTCAATGCTGTAGATAAAAAAATCGTCGAGAAATGTCTTCTAAGGAAAAGATGCTTTGTTGTCAAACCTACAGTCCGGTCTGCTAGAAAACAGAGTCTATCGTTTTCTGAGATATTTCCAAGGAAATGAGCCATACAGCTAGTTACTTCATGGTTTGAACTCTGAATATCCTGGTGAAATGTTCGTCGTCCAATATATATATCGAAAATCTACTCTGCTAAAACATGATTTCATATCTAGTTGTAATACATGAAATCAAATCTAGCCATTTAATTCTTGAAACATTGCCAAATTTAGATGTGAGTGAATTATATACATAAAATTCTATTCATTCAAAGAAAAGCATAATGCAAAAGCGCTTAGTGTCATGTATTGACCAATGTTTTCGGCCTCATCTCAAAGTTTGCTAGCGTCACAAACATTGTACACTTTTCTCGACACATGAACAGATCATTTGTTCTCTGCAGCGTTACTTTTCGTTCGTTTAAATTTCGTCAGTCATCTGTTGAAAGCTGTGTCACGTTCTATTCGACTTTTCTCAGGCGTACATTCACTGTAAATAGGTATGTCTATGTTGGTTTTAACTATTAGTCACTATTTGTGCTTGTGATAGTGTTGCGGAAACCAAACCGAAAGAGAAAATATCACTCTTTCAAATATCGTAGATTCTTAAGACCTTTAGTTTTATGTGTGGTCTAATGGCAAACAAACTTGGATCTCGAGTAAAACTTTTACGTGGTTCTTTGATGATAAATGTAAATCAAAAGAATGAGAGTTCTATAGTGTCATGAACCGAAAAATCGTTTATTCTTGAAGCCTATTCTCTTATTAAATACGCTTGTTTCTTCACAGAAACAGTACAGCCTTCGAACGTTTGAACTTTCAATCGAACAACCTGTAATCCTAATATTAAAGTTTATGATAAAAAATTCGATTTCGATCAGTTAGTTTCTGATTAAAAAGTTATTAAAAAATCGAACCATTTTCATCGAATTCAATTAAAATCAGATATAAATCAGATCAAAGGATTTCAATCAGATTCGAATTCGATGAAGAGCATCCCACTTTTATCCATGCTAATCAAAATAGTCGATCAAAATTTATTACAAATCTTTCATCTACAGTAAAGGGTGTGGTTGTGTGTGCGAGTAAAAACATGAGCCCACAGTACTCACACCATGCCCTTCAATCAGATTATTTTACTTTTGATCGCTAGTAATGAGTTGCCCGTTTTTTGTATGAATTTAGATCCACTTTATGGTATCGATGCACTTTCCTCGGGATTTGAACATGAGATTGACTTTTTCTTAAGCCCCCCCTACTCAAAAAAGTCAATTTTCGTCAAAAATTTCGAAATTGAGATAAATGCATGGGAAGATAGCCCGTCATCTGCTCTTTCATAAACGATAATTTGTTTTTCTCGTTACTTCATTTTTCCCCAAAAATTTTCAAGATTTTCGCCAACCCCTATTCGAAAAACCAGCTGTTTTTTGAAAAATCAAAAAATGTTTTTCGTTTTCTTTCGATTTATGATTTTTTGATCTTCTGGCAAGGAATTCTCGGTCCAGGCTGTGTCAATATATTTAAATTTTTTTTTGTTTGAAACAGCGCGTCGAGATGCAGGGCACTACAGAGTCCTTTTTTTAATTAAGCTTTGTTTTTTATTATATATACAGACACCTATGTGACTGGACACCCATTTTCGGCGCCTTTTTTGAGTCATTGAACTTGCGAGCCCCTTTCTCCGCGAAAAAAGTAAGACTTAAAAAAAAGGACTCTGTGGTGCCCTGCATCCTGAGATGCTCTTTCAAACAAAAAGAAATTTTAAATATGTTAATCGAGTCTGGACTGAGAAATCCTTGCCAGAAAATGAGCTATTTTTGACCCTTGTTTGGTTCATATCTCTGTAAAACATCAGGGTATCGAGCTGAAAATTTTACCACAGCCTCCCCACTTCAGCCCCAACATATGCTCCAAATTTCAGCCCATTTGAACGTACCTGGGCTGAGATCGATTTTTGAGTGGGGGGCCTTAACTTTTTACAATTGTAACAAAAATTCAAACAACCTGAGCTGATATATGATCGACTCAACTTGATGAGAAAAATTTCTAATTAATCTTTTTATTTGAAATAAATATTTCATTTTAATTCCGCAGGAATTGAAGTATGACACACAATAGATTAAGTCTGCTGATAAATGAAGTCCACAAGTACGTCGATAATTGTTTGTACAGGCTAGATAGACAAATACGTTGAAATTTTCATGACGTCCTGCATTGTTAGACTGTCTGCCTGTTATTTGTGTAGGGTAGGCACAGGAAGCGAGTGGAGAACTGTATCACAGTGCTAACTATTTAATCAGATTCTTTGGGAGTCTCTTTTTTTTATAAATCGACTCTAAGAACATTCAGCAAACGTGCGCAGTAGTGGCCAAGAGTCTCCTACTCTCATATTCCCGCTAATATAGATGCTGAAGGTTTGAAAACTTGTGTGCATATATGATACCAAGAATGTAGGCTAGCAACGCGAGCTCACTCATATTGTTTAAACGAAAGAAGACTTATGAAGGGCACCTGTCTTTGCTACAAGCTTTCTTTCTTAAAAATATTGTTTACTAAAATTTTTGCCACTTATAATGAAATAAATGGCTATTATTTGAGATTTTATCATGCAACGAGTTCTCTGTGTCAATTGCATAATCATTCGAATGCCATTTGCATTAAGTAGAAGCGTGATTTATAAAAGTTTCAGGTACTAAATGTCTAACTATACCAAAAGCTTCTGTTTAAGTTTCAACATGATTCATCGAACTTTTTCTGAGAGATGGTATCTAAAGACTAGCAAATAGTCTTTCGACACTCACATTGTCCTTAAAAAAATGGCCAAAATTCTAGAAAGGATTGGCGAACTTCAATAATAAAGGTTGCAGTTGATAGACAAGTGACCTACATAACCGCTCATCCTGATTCTTGTTGGCTTATGCCAATTTGGGTGAGCTCATACCTTTGACCTAGATTCTTAGCAGAGTATATGCACACATAATATTATCAGTTGTGAATCGACTAAAACTCAAAAAAAAACCATGCCAAACATTCTCTCCGTAGCAATTATCACTCTATTGAACTAGAAATTTTTAGAGTTTCGTATACATGAAAGAAAATGTCAATCGATTCTCCAAGCTAGGAATCAGTCTTTCGATCACTTCTAATATCCGCTAGATCTAGCAATGATGTCTCCTAAATGAAATTTTTCGTTTTAAATTACAAGTATGACAGGATTGTCTAAAGGAGAAAAGACTCATGCTAAAAGAAGCCACATTTCATCGACAAATTTAAATCAAAACTAGTCATAACTATTGCTTATCACTATGAAATTCAAGTCTTTGTACAGCATGGCATGTCAAAACAAAATGCATTCTTAAAACTACCAAATTCACTTGAAATAATCAACTAATAAAGTAATAAACTATCGTGTCTGTATCTGCTAGATGTTCAAAATTTGTAGTTGATTATTTCTTTGTTGATTCACCGTAATCTATCTGTGTTATGAAAACTAGTTTCTGTTCTTTATTTTGTGCGTCATCTTTTGTAATAGTTATTGGCTCAAAGAGGCGCTTATTATTGTTTTGACAATTTATAGTATTTATTATTTTCTGCTTATAGACATGGGCATTTACAAAGTTGAATGAAAGAGAAGTGCTAGGCAACTCCTAATAAAGTACGAAAGAAACATATTTTGTTCGTTCTCTTGTCTTTACCAACTATAATAAGAAAATCTTACCAAGTTGAACAGATGCGGTCTGATGTATTGAAGTTTTTCTGTTCACTTCGAAAGTGCTCGTTATTACGGGAACTTCGGATTGTCTATGTGTTTCGGACTCCACCACTTGCAGGAAAACTGAACTGCCATTTATACTTTGAGCCACTGTCGTCATGTTGACACACGTTGTACAGCTTATTTTTGATTCTTGACTGCTAATTTGCATTCTACTGTTTTCATCAAAACGATATATTCTATGCAACGTTTTCGCTAGTGATTAGCTTACTGTGGTCGCAGCAGTCGCCATAGGAAAGCACAACAACATATCACTATGATCGTCACAACTACCACCAATGCGACCAGCTTAAGTCTGGCTTGTTTCTTAGTTCTTGTATCCCTCAGCGTCGTATAATGCAAACGCTCAGTTTGTTTTTTAATGTATCTCATCCGTCAAAAAAGAACGAATTCTGCACAGATGTAACTATGTAAGAGAATACAAAGTAATACGCTATCAAATAACAACAAAACACATTAAAACATGTAAAGGTTAGATAACGCGCGCATTAGAATCTAACGAAAAATAAAACAATTTGATTGATAGTATGATTCCTGATAGTCGATCTTGTGATTGATCACTTATTTTGCACAAATATTGCATCTGAAGACAAAGATGGGATTGCAAACTATATTCTTTCGAATGAGGAAAGAAAATACACAAATTATGCGCATTTTATATACATAGATGATGATTAAGAGTACATGTACTCCATGGTACAAAAAAAAACCAACACGGGAGAAATCATTCAAAAGAATGTGAAGTATAGATGGAAGCTTTGTATTCAATCATATTTACACCCATTCCCTTGTTCAACAAACATTAGACATCCTGATAAAAGTAGATATTGATTGTTGTGGAATACCTCCATAGAGACATTTTGCCTATTGAAAATACTTGGCTAAAACTTGTATTCAGAAAACATGTAGTAACTTCTGTTTATATTTTATCTCGATGTAAATAAACAGTTGCTAAATGATATTTTTTAAGTTTTTTCCAAAAAAAGTATTTTTCATAGGTGATAAGTAGTAAATCTTTTGTAGTTATATATACTAAATTTCTGAGACTTTTTTGAACAAAA